TACATTTTGATATTTATAATAACTGTGAGTCGGAAAATTGTAATGTCATGCTAATTTTGATAACTATATTGTATAATTCATTTGGTTATAAATATAATTTATATGCAGGGTTTTATGTTTAATCAATGTTTATATGCAATATATCTATTTTCGACTCTAAATTATACTTTGTTTCCTGAATAATTTAACATAGAGATATTGGGAGAATTAAAGATTCTAGATTACTGTAAGTAGGAGTTCCGTCGAATGTCATAAAATAGCACAGTGTAGACTAAACACGACTGAAAGATATCCAGGGCAGACACTCCTTAGAGTTCTATCTTCGACACAAAAATTTAAATCCACCTATGTGTCTCAGGAGGATTTGTTACCAGGGGAATACACTTTTAAGCTAATTATTTATTTATTTATTTATTATTATTTTAATAATATTTATAATAATGTTATTACTATTATTCGTTAAACATTAACGACCATATGCGCAGCTTTATTTTGTATTGCTATAAAACAGTAGCACATTTATATCTTTGTTTTGACAACGTTATATCTTATGTCAAAAAATCTTGAGTATTAGTAGCTAGTTGGTTGATTGCTTTGAATGTTTTTATTGTTTCAACAAATTGAATACTAAATTAGTGAAGCAATAAGTCGTTAATCAAACGACAGAGGCACTTACATAATAATCATAACTGAATCTAACATAGAAGGTAAACATTTTTTCTCATAAAAAACAGTGCTCGTTAATAGAAATATAGTTTAGGCGATAACACTATTTTGGAATTTAGAGCATTTTTGTTCTCTTGAGGGCGTAGTAGAACCGTTTCGCAACACATAATGTTTAGAGAACATGGCAATATAGCCATGCACTCTGATGGCATTATAGTTGTGCACTCTATGTAGAAGCGAGAGGAGCAACACCAGTGTATTAAGGCCACAGGAGTGATACAAATATCCGAGTAACGAATAAATCATTGTTCTTTCAGTTATTGAAGTTGTTTCATTTTTTGTTCTATGTCCTGTCTGAACACATGATATATATATATATATATATATATATATATGTATATATATTATAAATAATAATAATAATAATAATAACAACAACAATGTCTCCCCTATTTATAAATATACATATATATATGGTGACATTTATAAATACATATATACTGTGTATAGGCTATATACATATATACATATATATATATATATATA